TCTGTCCCCTTTAAAAGCCCTCCCTCTTCAGTTCCTGTTTGCTGGATCCTCGTCTAACATCTGCCTGCCTTCCTCGTCTCTCCCTGGCTCCTAGAGTTTGGTTTACCCCTGATGTCTCCTTGGTTCTGGTGCGTTTGTTATTTTCTGTTGGATTTTGATTCCTGCCCCTGTTCCTGTGAAACTTAATAAACCCACTTAAATTCACCTCTGCCAACTGGTCTCTGCATTCGGTTCCTCCAAACAAACACCGCCTCATGACAGATTTAGTTAGAAGAGATATATCTTCTATCCACCATGGACAGATATTGCTCAGGACATTTATATTCTACATATTTATGGCTGATGCTACGCTACTGTGTTTTCTTAATGTGCTAGAATAGCATCGTCATTGGTTGCTTTTATACTTTTGATCTAATCTGTTGAAACAATCTCCTCACTGAAGGTACTTTATTTTGATCAGCCAGTTACAACAGTTAAGGAGTTTTTCTTTTTTTTTTTTGGTTAGGTGGGACTACTGTTATTTATGGTCATGAGAAACTTCAACGCTTTTGAACATCCAATAATCAGAGGTTTCTGTGTCTCTCAAACATCTTTGAAATCCAAATTATTTAGTGGAACCAGTTCTGATTACACACTTAAAGGACATGCCAAAGCTATAAAAAATAAAGGAAAGGAAGAATATGTGTTTTTGGCTCTTTTTCCTCCTGATTCAAATTCTTTTCAGTACTCCTTTCCTTTTTTCCCCCTCTTTAACCTCCCTATCTCACACATCTGGAGGGGATCTGGTGCAGATCTGTGACTGCTTGCCTGCTATGGGACAGACAGAGTTTGGACCACACATTACTCTTCAGTACTTTTTTCACCAAATGTTCTTAGGGGTAAAAGTACTGCAGGAGCTCTGCTGCTGTATACTTTATGGTTGCTGTTATGTTAGACGGAGCTTGCGCTGAGCTTTGAGTCGAGGTAATTCATCTATGCATGGCAGTTCTGACTTCTGGCATGTGTAGGA